ATTTTGGAAAATGGGGTCAGTAGCTAACAACGTGAAATGAAAAATTCTGTAGTAAATGAAGCTACAGAGGTGGCGATTTTAGGACATGTTGTTCAAGAGCCCATATTGAGTACAAGACAGTTGGCGATAACATCTGGTATTATGAGACGTAGCATACAGAAGATATTGAAAAAAATACAAGTTTCATCTGGTAAAAGCAGGGCCGACTAGAGGGGGGGGGGGGTAGCCGGGACTAATTCCCGGGGCCCGGCAACTGTTTTTTTGTTATGTATGAGAAATTCGACAAAAGATGAGAGGGGGAAGTTTTAGGTTGGGAAGTTTTTTTTTTTTGTTTTTTTTTGTTTTTTTTTTGTTTTTTTTTTTGTTTTTTTTTTGTTTTTTTTTGTTTTTTTTTTTGTTTTTTTTTGTTTTTTTTTGTTTTTTTTTGTTTTTTTTTGTTTTCTTTTGTTTTTTTGTTTTTTTGTTTTTTTGTTTTTTTGTTTTTTTGTTTTTTTGTTTTTTTTTTTTAAGAAAAAGCAAGTCAAGTAGAGGAGGAAATCTTTTTTTTTTAGAAAAAGCAAAACAAAGAAGGAAAAGTTTTTGTTTGAAGAGCTTTTTTTTGTCACGGAGCCCGATCTAGAAAATTGTTCTGTTCAATTTTGATAGACGATTACAATTTTGTGAAATTATGACTGAACGGGCAATTTCTCTTTAACGTGTGTTATTCAGACAAGGCACTTTTTTCCTAAATGGTACGGTAAATCGTCACAACTGTCGTTATTGGTCCGATTCAAATCCCAGAATATTTCATGAAGTGCATGCACAACATCCGGAAAAATGAATGTTTGGGCTGGCATTTGTGTTAACCGTATAAGGAGCCCCTTTTTTACCAGAAACTTTAACCGCAGAAATGTATCTGGAATTATTAAAAAACGCTATTTATCCATTACTAGAGTTGATTGAAAATGACGATCAGCACATAGCAAATAACTCAATATTCCAGCATGACGGTGCGCCACTATTCGTCAGTATTTGGATAAAATGTTTCCAGGTTTCCAGGATCGGAAGAAAAAGACGTATTGAGTGACCATCACAGTCTCCGAATCTAAGCCCGTTGGATTGTTTATGGGGCCACTTAAAAACTAAAATGTATGCCACTCAGCCAACATCACTGGAAAATCTGCGACAACGGATAATTCATGAATGTCATCAAATCACCCCACAGATGCTTCAAAATGTCCGAGAGCATTTTGAACAAAACCTCTATTATTTTATGGAGGCCCAGGGTCAGCATTTCTAGCATTTACTCCAGTAACTGGTAGGCTTCTACAGAAAATAAAAATTGTTAAAAGATCATGGCTAGGAAGACAGTAGCGATTTAAAACTCGGAGGTTATAATCTATGTAAAAATTCCTTCAAAATACCAGTGGTGGCTGCACCGAGCATATAGGGTTGCCAGATATCCCGTTTTAGGTGGGAGCCTTCAGCCTATCCAGCAGTTGGACAGTTGACAATAACTTTTTTTTTCAAGAAAATTTTCATAAAATCAACTTTAAAATATCTTTTAAGTGAGGTTTGGAGGGTGGGAAGGGGATAGCCCCCATTTTCCGCATAGAAGCCGGGCACCCAAAGCGATTTTTGAATTCCGACGCCTATGATTGCTAGGATAACACCTAACGCGTTTCGTGCAATAGCTCATGCGAATATCGATAGTTTCGATACAACTAGTTGTAAAACCCTATATTTTTTCGTTTAGTTAGTTCAGTGGACGCTGGTAGTCCCTATAGAGTCATTTAGGTATGAAAGGTTGTAACGTGATCTCTAGTTATGCTATCTACTTGTATAATGTGTTTGAGCTTAATTGATTGGGCGTGGGTTAGGTTATTAAATAACTCGAATAACTTTGAAAAAGAAGTTGGGCACCACTATATTTAAAGCTTACTATACTTGACTTTAGATTAGTGATAAAAATATAGAAAATCACTAACCACTAACAAACTATATTTAAACCATGCTTTAGATAAGGTAGTAGCAAATTCTAATTTACATAGTTTTACTAAATTCAAATTTAAGATGATTTATTCAATAGCACTTATCTTTTGTTGAAAGGAGGTAATATAAGGAATGTCTATCGCATGGTATATCCTCAGGCAACTTCTTCAAAGGGATTCGGGATCCTTATTCGTAATTCTGCAACGTGAATGATCTCGTGATATTTGGTATTCTAACTTAAACTCGAAACTGTCTAGATCTTCTAGAGATGAATCAAACAACGGTCTTCAGATTATTATTTAATACATTTAAACATAGTAAAGCTTAACATCTTATTAAAAAAAAAATTATATTAATTAATCATGTGTGTTACTCATTGTTGATAGGATTTTAGGTTATGTTCGAAATTTGACAATTTAATTAAGAAATCCTTGTACAAAATATATATTTTCAACAATATATCATTATTAAAACTTACCTTATAAAATCAGACAGCTAATAAGAATATTAAAAATCATCTAATACATAGGGTGATCTAGATATATTGAAATTCTAATCAAGTTGATTCGTTGACATCCAAGTCAAAAATAATTCTCACAATACGAATCAAGGAAGAAGAAAACGACAAATGACATTTAAGAAGTGAAAGGTGGTTGTGTCGAAATAACGTTTCCAACCGTTACAAGGTTTAAAAATTTGACCAACTTCAACGTCATAGTGACAATTGACTGCCTTGTATATTTTAAAATAATAATTATTGTTATTAAAAAAACAATGGCAGACAACTATAGCAGTTTTGAAGGTCGTGGCTGACACTTTTAAAAGTCCAAAAAATAACAATTTACGGTATTCTGTCATAGCTGAAATTTATAAATGATGTTAATAATAATGTTTTAAGCATATATTTAGCACGACTGACATTTTCCACGGTTTTAACATCCTGTCAGACAACCATATGTTAACCCTGTCGCGAGCCTATGCATGTATGATAATATAATTACAAAAAATCACAGCCCGATACTGCTTCTTGTTTATTTCCATTACATATTGGCCAAATAATTATTACTTTAAGTTTATATTATCAATTAGATTGGAATATCAGACAAAATTTTCCAATAAAATATCATCGCCTACTAGATAGGTTTAGCGGAAAGAGAACAGACCTCGTATATATTATGTCAAGCTTATTGTACAATCAGTCTTATTAAAATACGGCTAGGCTTTTTTCAATACGACTAGGCATATCATAATACTATCCAAATAATTAAGAATCTCACAATTTGACTGATAATTTCAGGCCTATAATAAGCCTGCCGCTTGTTAATCTTATTGTTAAATTGAAATGGCGCGCAATTGTTTTAGAACCCGACTAGATGACATTTGTCGTATAATACAACTATGTGCAAGACCTAATATTTGTGCAAAATATTAATTTTATTTAAAATGACTATAACAAGTGCTGATTTATGTAATGTATTTATACATAAAAACAATTATAATAAAGAACTAGAAAAGTTTTTTAACGGCATGAAAATCAAAAACAATAACATAACCTCAAATTAATAGAAACATTTCTAATTATTTTTTTCTGAAATCATTCGAAAATATTGAAATTCTAGAGCCGTTATGACGGCATACTCGGGGATAGGTTCCATTTGGGGTCTAGGTGGGACCCCGAGGGGGGGGGGGGGGGCGGAGAAAAGAGGGATATTTTCACTAAAATTATCCATTTTATTACAAAACATAGCTTGTGGGGTATTAAATCATCGAAGATTTTGTTAAGATTTAAGAAAAATATATGTAACAATACATTTAAAAAAACCAGACGTGTACATTGGAGTAACGGGAGCCAGAGGCGGAGAAAATATGGGTAATTTAATAAAATTTTGCATACCTCACGAATTTACAAAACTATGGAAATTGGCGAAACTTGGAACAAGAAAAGTTATTAAAAAATGACTAAAGAAAATGACATATAATAGCCTATAAAGAGTTTTATGACAAAGTAGTTCAAATTCATATAATACTGTAGGCAATTCCCATACCAGCCTGGAAAAACATGGGCTTACAATGTTATTATTAACATAATAAATTTCAGCTTTGTCGAAATACCGTAAATTATTATTATTTTTTGGAAAGACCTTAAAACCGCCATTTCTATATGTTATGGTTTTTCGTTCAATAACAATAATTAAGTGATTAAAAATATCCAAGTGTAGTCTTGTCATTATGACGTTATACTCGGTAAAAACTTTACAACTACTTTCAACCAAAAAGTAGCGTAAATATAATTAAAAAAGTGATCGGGACAATGAAAACGTTCGTTAAAATCAGTCCAACGTACAAATTAATTGTCTCAATAAATATTTTTCATAAGTTAATAAACGTGTTCATTGCTCAATGTAAGGTACATTGTATTTATGGATTTAGTTCACTGATTTTTATGCCCTGCAATTCTTTGAGTTAATGATCATATACATTGAAATTATGTAGAATATTGATTAAGCCAGTATATCATATACATTGAAACAGTTAAGTTTATTTATTAATATCATGAAAAACTTACATTGTCACAATGTTCATGGTTCAATGATCCAGCGTACATTGTACATCGAGTCAATGTAAAATATTGATTAAGCCAGTGTATCACATACATGGAAACAGTTAATTTTATTTATTAATTTCATGAAAAACTTACATTGTCACAATGTTCATGGTTCAATGAACCAGCGTACATTGTACATCGAGCCAATGCAGAATATTGATTAAGCCAGTGTATCACATACATTGAAATAGTGTACTTTATTTATTGATTTCATGAATATTTTATTGTCCCAATATTCATGGTTCAGTGATCCAACGTATATTGAACATCGAGCCAATATATATGTAGTACATTACAACAATGTATAAAGAAAAGGAATGGTAGGGTGGGTCTATAAAAAAATTCAATGTTTTCTTATATATATATATTAACAAATTTCAAAAAATAGACATGAAAAATTATAAAACATAAATCAATTAAAGAGGGGGTTTTCGTGCAAAAAAATATGTGCCTTTTTTATAAACAAATGTTTTTTTGCAAAAAGTATAGTTTTATAACTCAAAAAAAAAAACACTTATTCTACACCTATAATCCATTAAAATTATATGCCTCTACGTTTATTATATTTAAAATTATATATTAATTAAAAACAGCGACTTAACTATCTTGTTTGTCTGATAAAAATTCTGCCAAAATATGAATTTTTGAAAAAGATTTTTCTGGTTTACTTTTATAAAAGTATGTTTGTATAAAAGTCCAAAACATTTGGGACTTTTTAGGAAAATCTAAATTAAACAGAAAAAATATTTTATAACATATGTCCACAGCCCTTAAAAAATGACAAAATGTAAATCGAATTCCATCGAAATAGACAACTATCTCTTTGATAGAAAGGACATCCTCGCCAACAGTCAATATAAATGGCTGTATGGCTTGTTTTTGGTTTTTAAGAAATTCCAAATGGTCTTCTAATTCCTGTGCACATTTTGCTACGTATAGGAAGGAATCTTGCGAATCTTTTATGGTGAATTTTGTTGTGACTTTTTTGCCCAGGGTTTCATCTTTTTTGATAGTTTTATTTGTTGGTACAAAATATCCATGAAGCGCCCACATTATTGCCGCATCACGACCATCTAAAATGTTTTTAAAAATGTAATAAAATGTAGAGTAGAAGCAAAACTAATTCATAAAATTTGTAAAACAGTCACTAATACTTACTTTCACTAAGGTCTTCGTTTGTCATATTTGCTAAAATTCGTCGTATCCCCTTTTCTTTAATATGGTTTTCATCGTTAAGAAATGAAAGAATTGCATTACAATATGTTGGCCAATTCTTTAATAGACCATCAGCATTCTCGAAAGCTGCAGTAAAGTCCATGTCGATCTACAAAGTAAAATGTCAATTAGATCAGATATAAATTTGCACTTGCAATTAAGGTCATACCAAACGAAAACCTGACGGGTACTTATAAAACGGCCATTTTTCCAAAATATCGGTCGTAGACTTTAGCATTTCAAGGTCATTAAAACGGTACTGCTTGCACGCTTTCCATGCGCTGTCAAATACTTCTGAAGAAAGATTGTCAAATTTTAAAGATCTATAAATATCTTCTGCGTCTTCTTCTGGCACTGAAAGTATAAAGCGATAATATATAAATTAGGAATATAACGCTGTTTATCGAATAAAATAATACAATTTACCTGGATATTTGTTCTGCCAAGATTTTACTTTCTGATTTAAAGTTTGATCATCATCTGTTCTTGACACCAAATGCTGTGCCACTGCAGTTTTAAAAGAAGATTTACGGTTACAGCATTTGTTGTATAGTTTCCCCCTTTTGCTCGTTCTATAAAATTCCTGTAAATAAAATTAGATAAAACAGAATACCTATATATGTGATAACTTGAGGACAATCATACCAATTTTTCAGTCGGGAATCTTTCAAAAATTTCGTTTTCTATTCGATAACTGGTGGCTAATGTCATTGGAATTCCTTTTTCTTCAAACGCCTGAGCTATAGCATTAATTAGCAAAACTCTTTGCTCGTCAGTAAATTTTGAGAACTTATTATAATATTCCGTCAACATTGCTCCCCTTGGACTTTCATTTAAAATATTCACAAGTCCAATTTATTTTTATTTATTTTTATTTATTTTTATTTATTTTTATTCATTTTTATTTATTTTTATTTATTTTTATTTATTTTTATTTATTTTTATTTATTTTTATTTATTTTTATTTATTTTTATTTATTTTTATTTATTTTTATTTATTTTTATTTATTTTTATTTATTTTTATTTATTTTTATTTATTTTTATTTATTTTTATTTATTGTTATTTATTATTTATTTTTATTTATTTTTATTTATTTTTATTTATTTTTATTTATTTTTATTTATTTTTATTTATTTTTATTTATTTTTATTTATTTTTATTTATTTTTATTTATTTTTATTTATTTTTATTTATTTTTATTTATTTTTAATAATTCTTAATAATTTTTAATAATTCTTAATAATTTTTATTCATTTTTAGTTATTTTTGTTCATTTTTTTTATTTTTTTTTATTTATTTTTATTTATTTATATTTATTTTTATTTATTTTTATATATTTTTATTTAATTTTATTTATTTTTATTTATTTTTATTTATTTTTATTTATTTTTATTTATTTTTATTTATTTTTATTTATTTTTATTTATTTTTATTTATTTTTATTTATTTATATTTATTTATATTTATTTTTATTTATTTTTATTTATTTTTATTTATTTTTATTTATTTTTATTTATTTTTATTTATTTTTATTTATTTTTATTTATTTTTATTTATTTTTATTTATTTTTATTTATTTTTATTTATTTTTATTTATTTTTATTTATTTTTAAAATGTGAAAATCTAAAAACCTTTAAATACCTTTTGATATACGTACAATTCCAATTTTCAAATGTCTACAATTTCAAAAAACCCAATGTCTTATTTCAACTTTTATTTTCAGTTTCCTACCTTAATAAGTAAAATCCAAATACTTTGAAATATATGAAGAGTACCTACAATTCCAATTTTCAAGTTCCTACCATACAAACTTTCACTCCCCGCACATTTCCCCAATTTCCTCTATTTTCCTTCTTTCCCTCATTTCCCCTTTTACCCCCATTTTCCCTCTTTCCCCTCTTAAAACATGAAAATCCAAAAACCTGAAACACAACATTATTTATTTGTGATGAGTAGCTATAATTCCAATTTTCAAGTTCCTACCCACAAAAAAATCGATGTTTCCATGCAAATTTTTAACCCCTGTTTCCTCCCCTTAAAATGTGAAAAACCAAAAACCCTGAAACACGTCATTATTTATTTATGCTTAGTAGCAGTATTTCAATTTTTCATGTTTTACTACCGCTATGCAAAAAATTATGTCCAATCTTTTGCTCTGCGAAAAACAAAAACAAATCGAACCCACGGGAACCGTACATTTTTCCGGGATAAACACCTGTTTTCTACAAAAAATTCAAATTTGTTTGGCACTAAATCCGACCAGACCCCATGATTTTAGGTATTGAGTCGATGGCTTATTTGCAATAAGACGTAAACCACAAATTAAAAAAATATCGTCATTATACAGAAGATACTACCTATTCTGCATTTGCCAGCAAAATGCAAAATCTTTTAAATATAAACCTACACGCTAACATAGCGTCTTATCGGTTGCTGTGTGTTTTTCCTGTACAATGAAAAACTTACCGATTCGAGGTTACGTTATATTGTAAATAAGCCATCAATATATTTAATAATAGTAAGTAGGTACTTACCGAATACACAAATTAAAAACACCTATTCGATACACCTAAATTATAAGAAATACGAAAAGCCAGTAAGCCACCTTATTCCTTTTGGAACGAGAAAAAACAAATAACACTTTCAGTCTTTCTCTGCCGCCAAGATTGAGCTTGGGTGCCAATCGGGGTATATCGGCAGAGGTCGGCTATAAATCGTTCATTACGGCAATGTATACATTTATTGAGCTGACAAACATTAGCATTAGCATAATATGAGCATAATATTTGGTAAATTCAGGCAATGTACCTGTTTATTGACTAATGAACTTGTGTATCAATGTTATGAATTTTCGTTGTTAATTCTATTCATTTGCCTAATGAATAAATTTATCAATAACATGAAATTTCAATAAAATATTTTATTGTAACAGTGAATGACTACATTATTTTTTAATAAACGGGATTCATTATATTAATAACCCTGGTTATAAATTGATTTAAAAAGGGTATAACATTTTTCATAATATTAATGAATTATTAATTGGACCAATGAACTTTGTGTCAATAAATGAATTTTATTAATATTATGAACAGATTTATTTTCAGTGTACTTTCATACCTGGGTGATTCTATAGCAACTGCCCGCGCAGGCTGAACTAACGAGTCCCCATCGCATGAGCAGCAGAGAGTAAACGAAAAATATAAGGTTTTACAAAATACTGTAAGTCAGCCGGCTAATAGCTCTTAAACTATAAAGCATTATTCTTAGAAAATATCTTTAAAAACAGTATCCTGTTAAGAAGAATGTTATTTTTAAAAAATGGTCAGTTTGCAACTTCAATGCTCTGTATATCAAAAATGTGTAATTTAATTAAGTTGTGCACACGAACACTATTGTTCAAGAAGTCGATAACTCCAACATATAAAAAAAAAACTTGAAAAATGTCATCGAAGTCTATACGCGTGTTTAGTGCTCGTCACAGTTTAAGAAAGGTCAAAGCACTGGATGCCAACAAAGAAACCATACTGTCAACTGTCATTGATGTCCATAAGAATAACACAGTGGTCATTGAGATTATTAAAGCATAATTTCGAAAATAAAGCAATTTAATTATTTAACATATTAAAGCATATGGATGGTAAGGTACTAACATTTTTGTTTCTCTATGGATTTCATAATTTTTTTTAAGGAAAATATTTATTTGTCTTCGATTCAAAGAATTTTAATCCAATCTACTTAAACCCTGGTTTCTGAAGTGGATATAATTTAATTAATTGACACATTCAAAGCATATAAACGGTAATTCTATCAATTTCAGAAAAATAATTATTTTTCCATGATTTGAGAAATCTTAACCCAACTTTTTAAAAGGGTTACTTTTGAAATGGATTTTAGAGCACTAGCACATGTCCCAGAGGCTAAGTGATTTGCCACAACTTGGCTAACTTATTGTATCATTCTCATTATATTGTGTATTTGAAAAGGCCCTAAAGAGGCTAAAATTTCTCTTGATCCAAGGTTTGTGATTTATACTGTTTTTGTTTGGCCATAATCCGTAAAGAGGCTGAATGGGATCCTAATTTAAATATTCTACATACATTTTATATTGACAAATTCATATCGACTGTTTTTGATACTTTTCCTTATTACCAAAGAAGCATTGTCAAATAGTTAAATTTAATAAATACTAAATTATTATTTATTATTAAACAAATATTTGATAATTTATATTATTATATAATATAACTGCTTTAAATGTTTTTTATTTATTTATTTATCTTGCAGAACAGAGTGAACTTTCGAATATTTAATATATAATTTTCACAAATGTTTATAAGAAAAATTCAGAGGCCTGTTCTTTATCATTTCCTCTGACCTCTCCACTTTCATTTTTAATAGACAGTTTTCAGCTCTGATCATAACAGAATCTAAAAAAAACATTTTTCTTCAATTGGATCAAAATATACTATAGGCACAACAATAAAGTTCACATTCTACTTCCTAGAAATATATTTTTAAAAACTATGAGAACTTATATTGAGGGCCACAATGCAGAACCTCGTAACTAACATTTCCACTGAGAATATTTCGTGATATTCTCTTTTAAAACATTTCGCTCCATCTATTGTATGGGGCAAGAATTACAATTTTTAAACAAACTGGGTAAACATTAGTCCTATTATAGAGTAAAATGGATTGTTCTATACGTAAAACATAGATGCGCCTGTTTTGTCCAGCAGTTTCCGCGCTCAGTATTTATTAAACGGGTTCTTCTATACACGCATTTAAACTACGGTGCTTTTGGATCGATAGTCGAATGGCTGATTTGTCAACTCACTGTCGAAGGCGTTTCTTCGCGAGCCTTTTTCCATAGATGCAGGGGATTTTCTGCGACGCTCTGTGCGAATAGGTGTCTGTCTAACGTTTCCGCCACGATGGTAATTGTGGGCATATGTTCAGTTTGGGGTAGATAGGACCTTTATTTGAGTTTAGCTATGCTATTTATTTGGTTTTAGAGGTTTGTTTGGTTATTTTAGCCCTTTCTGTAAAGAATTTATTTCGTAATAGAGGGCGCTGAGGGGACGTCTATTTGCCATTATGGTATGTTGGTATTATTGGTTTTTGAAAGTGACGTCGGCTTCTTGGAATTTGGAGATTCGTTCTGCACGTCGGCTAAAAAGGTAGTTCAAAATTTAATGGAATTCGTTTCAATCCATAATTGGGATATTGCGAAACAACCTCTGTTTAAAACTACAACAGTGTGTGATTTGGTTGTATTTATGGTTAACAACATGTTATTGGAACTCTTAGGAGGATATATTTAACCACGTTTTGGATCTCAGAGTGCCCACATATATATGTAATCTTTTCTGGATAAGCTGTTCACGAATTTGCAGTTCGATCTGATTTGGTGTTTTGTTTTCCCCCTATTGCTGTTAAAGGGGTAAATATAGTTTGATTTTAGTTAGCATGCTTACCTAGACGATTATTAACCCTAATTTATGTTTCTTTTCGTTGTATATATTTTCAGTATATGGGATTGACTATTAAGATATAGTATTTTGAAACCTAAGGGTGTAATTTGCCTATTAAATGTAATTGTTGGACAAAAGTCGCTTCACGAGCCGTCTATCTTGTTGCTTGCTAAATCTGAAGATTACCTACATAAATTGGTAAGCCGAACTTTAATTTAACTAGTAAACGTTGAGTAGTTACTACCTATTTCTAGACCTCGCTTCACAAGAAGGCTATGTAGGTACCTGGTTATTTAATTTTAACTTCTTTATTAACCAGGGATAAATAGTTAT